TGTGTGTACCTGCGGAACTGGTAGTCAAGCAGCATAAAAACTGTTTTATGCTGCTTCTTTTTTTTTTTTTTTTTTTTAAGACAGAGTCTCCCTCTCTCACCAAGGCTGGAGTTCAGTGGCATGAACATGGCTCACTGCAGCCTTGACCTCCCAGGATCAAGTCATCCTCCCACCTCAGTCTCCTAGCTGGGACTATTGGGGCATGCCACCACACCTGGCTGATTTTTTTATTTTTTGTAAAGACAAGATCTCACCTTTTTTTTCTTTTTTCTTTCTTTCTTTCTTTCTTTTTTTTTGAATCGGAGTCTTGCTGTGTTGCCCAGGCTGGAGTGCAGTGGCGCAATCTCGGCGCACTGCAACTTCCGCCTCCCAGGTTCAAGCTATTCTCCTTCGTTAGCCTCCCGAGTAGCTGGGACTACAAGGTGTGCGCCACCATGCCCAGCTAATTTTTGTATTTTTAGTAGAGACAGGGTTTCTCCATGTTAGTCAGGCTGGTCTCGAACTCCTAACCTCAAGCGATCTGCCTTCCTCAGCCTCCCAAAACGCTGGTATTACAAGCGTGAGCCACCATACCTAGCCAGGATCTCACCATTTTGCCTGTGCTGGTCTGAAATTCCTGAGCTCAAGCAATCCTCCCACCTTGGCCTCCCAAAGTGCTGAGGTTAGAAGAATGAGACAGGGTTAGAAAAAATAGACAGGGTCTATTTTTTGTACTTTAAAGGAAGAAAGGAAAAATAGTTTTTAAGAGATCTGTCATTTGAATACATTTAATCTTCTGAAATAGGATTTTTTTCCCCGCATTAGATAAAGCCTCTTGATTTCCAGGGCTCCAGAATTTGTGTTGTTCATATGTACGTATTTTTTTCTTTTTGGCATTAATGCTTTATTTACTTGTTTAAGTATTTATTTTTAAGAGACAGGATCTCACTCTGTCACCCAGGCTGGAGTGCAGTGTCATGATCATAGTTCACTGTAACCTTGAACTCCTGGACTCAATAATGCTTTATTCTCTCTTTTTAAAACAGGGTCTCACTGTGTCACCCAGGCTAGAGTACAGTGGCTCAATCTCAGCTCACTGCAACCTCCACCTCCTTGGTTCAAGCAATTCACCTGCCTCAGCTTCCCAAGTAGCTGGGATTACAGGCATACACCACCATGCCCAGCTGATTTTTGTATGTTTTGTAGAGATGGGGTTTCACCATGTTGCTCAGGCTGGTCTCGAACTCCTGGACTCAAGTGATCTGCCCGCCTCAGCCTCCCAAAGTGCTGGGATTACAGGCATGAGCCACCATGGCTGGCCTGCTTTATTCTTTAAAGGAAATTAAACCACAGAAATAGAATGACAGATTTGTAACTTGTTGAATGGGTTTACAATCTAATTATTTGGAAAAGCAGATATTTGAGTGTCAGCTTTCAACGTGTAGTTTAATACTTGAGTAGCACATAATAGGTTTTCCCTCTGTTTTACAGATTAGCTTAATAAATTGAAAGGAACTTGTGAATCAGTCACATGATTTAATGCAAAACTTTCCTTAGGAATAAATTAGGCTAGCTTTGTTTATGTTCAAGAATCGTAATTTATAGTTCTGCACCATTTATATTCTCTTGTCCTTCATTACATACTGTTGCCCTTTCTCTGTCTTCCTTATCTCCATTTTTTATTCCTTTTTACATTGCTAATGAAGAGAAGACAAGTATCAGAATCTCTGGGCCTGGATTTGTGGATTTTTAACATACTCTTCAGGTGATTCAGATGTAAACCAATGTTTGAGAGCCACTGACATCTGGGAAAGGATACTACTGGAAAGACTCTGAAGAAAGAAAAATCATGGAAAATGATTGATTGATTTAAGGAATGAAGGAGGAAACTAAGTCAAACTTTTCAAGCTTGACTTTTCTACAAAGATTATCATTTTTAAAAATTTGAAAGGGAGGACAAGACATGGTGGCTTATGCCTGTAATCCCAGTACTTTGGGAGGCAAAGGCAGGAGGATGCTTGAGCCCAGGGGTTCAAGACCAGCCTGGGCAACATAGGGAGGCTCCTGCCTACAAAACAAATTTAGCCAGGTGTGGTGGTGCATGTCTGAACTCCAGCTATTCAGGAGGTTGAGGTGAGAGGATTGCTTGAGCCCAGGAGTTCAAGGCTGCAGTGAGCCATGTTCACACCACTGCACTCCAGCCTGAGCAACAAAGCAAGAATCTGTTTCTAAGGAAAAAAAAGAATAAAACATTAATGCCAAAAATAAACACATACACACAACACAAATTCTGGAGCCCTGAAATCAAGAGGTCTTTAGTAGGGGGAAAAAAATCCTACTTCAGGAGATTGAATGTATTCAAATAATAGGCCTCTTAAAAATGATTTTTCTTGTTTTCCTTTAAAGTACAAAAAACAGGCCAGGTACAATGGCTCATTTCTGTAATCCTAGCACATTGGGAGGCCAAGGCAGGAGGATCGCTTGAGCCCAGGAGTTCCAGACCACCCTGGGAACGTGGCAAGACCTTGTCTCTACAAAAAGTAAAGTAAACAGTGCTTGGTGGTGTGCACCTATAGTTCCAGCTACTCAGGAGGCTGAAGTGGGAGGATTGCTTGAGCCTGGAAGTTTGAGGCTAGAGTGAGCCGAGATCACATCACTGCACTGCAGCCTGGGCGACAGAGTGAGATCCGGTTGGTTGGTAGGTAGGTAGGTAGGTAGGTAGATAGATAGCAAAGAACGTTACATTTATAAAAATCTTGTTATATGTTCCATACCCATTTCTTTTATTTTTTGGTGGACAGCTTATTTTTATGTCTATTATTAATGTTACAAAATTGTTTGAAAGACTGAATGGAAAACTTTTAGGAAGTAGCTTACACGTTGGAAAAATCTGGGTCAGGCAAATAAAGCGAAAGGTAAGATGGCCAAATCATGTATAAAAGGCTTTTAATGTTGAATATTTGATTTAACATTTGATTTAATGTTAGAATTTAGGCACTTTATCTTTTATGACTATTACACTGAGAAAACAAAGGTTTATTCAATTCTTCTTTCAGCATTATATGTCTCATATTCTTGATTCTGAATTTGTTTTTACCAAAACTAAACTTCTGTTGTGTTAAAAATGGCTGATAGGTGAAGAGTAGTATATTTTATGACCTTTGGTTTACTATGTCTGGTGGTGTAATGCAAAATTAGTAAATGTGCTCTTCCTCTTTTATGCAGGACCAGTGGCTGTAGGACAATTTCACCGGTCATTTCGGCGAGATAGTTTGTCTCCTTACTCCTACGTATCAACTCCGTCCCATGACCACAGTACTTTCCCTCTGAAAGGTTTAGATCGGACCCCAGTTCCTCACAGGATATGGCAGAACTCCCTTGGAATGCACCCTGGACAAGTGGAGACATCTCCCACATTTTCAGATAAAGGGGTTCCATTTCCTGTACTCCAGAGGTTTCCAGCTGAGGTTACCTATACGCTGCAGCCCAGCACCACATCTGTCCATGTTCAACAAGGTCCTCAAACAATGGTCAGCTCCTCCCAAAAATACAGTAACTACACACCCTCAGCACAGTACTCGCAAGCCTACTATCCAACAGGTATGACAAATTCAGGTTCATGGCCTTCTATTTAAGGTTGTTTATAATGAGCATATATATATTTTAAATGCATTTTATTGTCTCTGTGCTTTAACACAAACAGTAGGAATGTGCATCTAAGAAATGGCAAAGATTTCTTAGCAGGAGATATTTTTAAACAATATATAAAATTTCATTGTGTTTTTAAGGGTTGTGAAAATTTCGTTGGGTGTATAAAGGTGTGTATTGTTAGTGAAACTTGTATATTCAAAATGTGTCCTAGTTATGAAATTAAGACTTAGTACCCCAAGGGCGGATGTGGTGGCCCATGCCTGTAATCCCAGCACTTTGGGAATGTGAGGTGGGTGGATCATTTCAGGTCGAGTTCGAGACCAGACTAGCCAACGTGGTGAAACCCCAACTCTACTAAAAATACAAAAATTAGCCAGGCACGGTGGCAGTCGCCTGTAATCCCAGCTATTCCGAAGGCTGAGGCAAGAAAATTGCTTGAACCTGGGAGGCAGAAGTTGCAGTGAGCGGAGATCACTCCACAGCATTCCACCCTGGACGACAGAGTGAGACTGTCTTAAAAACAAAAAAACAAAAAACAAAAAACCTTAGTACCCCAGAACCTTATTTTAACTGTGTCCTTGGTGCCGCAGTTTTTTTTTAAATATGTCTATTATATGTTTAATATGGTTTAATCTTAAGGTGAGATTACCTCATAATGAAATCATTTATCTCAGTAATGATATTTAATAAAAAAAAAATACTCTCTGAACATTAAATTCTTTAGTAAAAACCTGGTGAACAGTGGGATCTCCACAGTGTTATTCCTAGGCAGCTAAGAACTGGGGAGTAGCAGAGAGAAGGAGAAACCTGACAATGACAACTGACCTGGAACTCAACCAAGGGCATTGAGAACATGCTGGTAGATCCCACGCCACTAATTGGGAATGCTTATGATAGTTATCATCTGTTTTGCTTCTTGGGGAAAAAAAAAAAAGTTGTGGTTTTTTTCCTTTCTTTTTTCTTTTTTTTTTTTTTTTTTGAGATGGAGTTTCACTCTTGTTGCCCAGGCTGGAGTGCAATGGCACAATCGTGCCTCACTGCAACCTCCGCCTCCTGGGTTCAAGCAATTCTCCTGCCTCAGCCTCCTGAGTAGCTGGGATTACAGG